GGGCGTTGTCCCACGACAGCACGCTCACTTCCTTGAGCACCCTGGACTGGGAGCCGCCGGACGACGTGGTGCCCCACCCGCGCACCCACGTGAGTACGTTGGCAGGAACTGTGTCAAACGACACCGCCACGGGCGTGATACTCGTGATGCTGCGGTCCAAGAGGAGGATGGCCACGTCGTTCGAGTGCGTCGCCGCGTTGTATTGAGGGTGGCGGATCTCCTTGGTGATTTTGACCACCTCCCCGTCGGACGAGCCGGAGAGGAAGTGCGAGCCCACGACGGCGGTAGTGAGGCCGCCGCCCGTGCAATGCGCCGCCGTGAGGATGACGTTGGGGGCGATCAGACTGCCGCCACAGCTGGACGAGGACGTGGCCGAGTGCTTGAGGCCCGCTAGGTATCGGTGTTGGCCGACCTTGGCTTCGGTGCCGCCGACGATTTCGATAAAGTTGTTGTCAGGGGCTACGTCGTCTTGGGCCAATACGGCGGCGGCAATGGTGGCGAGGGTGAATGCGAACTTCATGGTGGTAATTGGAAAATGAACCAAGCTCTATCAGTCAATGGTGGTTATCGAACGAGTTGGGGATGGAAATGCTGAGGGTGAACTCAGATACTATTGGTACTGTATTCCAAGGGTGAGACAACTCGCTGGATCGTGTGGATGGAACGCCAAATCAAGTGCATTGTTTTTTTCGTTGTACAGAAAAATTGGAATAATACTTGGGATAAGTCGAGTGACGAGGTGCAATGGGCTGAGATGGAGGGCTTATATGGAGTTGTTGTGCTGTGATTTTGATCTCAAGACGAACGAATGTACTACGTATTAAATGTTGCAGTAGTCAGTCATTAATATGAATGTCGCTATGAATTGCAGGAAGTACTTTGTCGTTATCTGAGTCTTCATGGGATTACTGTATCCATGTGTGTATGTACTCCTAATAACGTTATAAGGTTAACGTTAGTAGTTAGTAAGCGGTACGGTCGTCCTAGTTTCAGTGGCTAGGATAACTGTATCTTACTCCGATTAAAGCGTCCATGGCCGCTTTAATCGGAGTAAACAAGCAAATGGGAATCTGGACATTTCTGAAACCATTCTTGGAGAATTTATCAAATGTTAAGTTTTGATCCATAACGTAACTCCCACACACAGGAGAAGTGCAAGTGCACAGCTAATACCGAATCTGAGTAGGATGAACTCAGGTCACACATCCATAGATTAAACTGGCTCCACACGAAGGGAGTTCGATTCATTGGATCCCATGTGCCGACGTACTACGACTATGATCATCTGACTTTCAGACATCTCGATGGTACTCTACGCGGAAATTCTTTAGTACCCATCGCACCACAAAGGCAGTCTTATCACAGTAACCAAGACACATTCCATCCGCTCAATCTACTCGTTAGGCCAGCAAACTCTCTAATCCTTGAGTTACAGTGCCAATAGTATCTGAGTTCACCCTCAGCATTTCCATCCCCAACTCGTTCGATAACCACCATTGACTGATAGAGCTTGGTTCATTTTCCAATTACCACCATGAAGTTCGCATTCACCCTCGCCACCATTGCCGCCGCCGTATTGGCCCAAGACGACGTC